TTTTACCTACACCACCACCAAATAAAGGTATACCAATCACTATTCTGCCTAGCTTGTAACGTTCACGTTCTGATCTGTTTGATTAATACTATTTAGCCAAAACATGTTTTTGTCTTATGGATATTTAAAATTTTCTTCCTATAGTGAAGAAGATAACAAGTTTAATTATAGTATCATTCTTTCCCTAAACAGTTCCTATTAACCCTATCCCTGTATTGTGCATCACATGTGTTAAAACACCTGAGTATCATATGTAATAAACAGGTACATTTAGTTGATATGCAGCTGATGCTCGTGAACGTGGCAACAGAAACTGGTTGTTTTGATTCAACGTATGAGATTAAAAGATATATTCATATGAACATCACATGTGACGCTCAAAGTGCATGAGAATGATGATAAGTTAAGTTATTTTCACTCAAAAGAAAATGTAAATCTAAGATTTTTAGCTGCTAAAACTCTCTGTTCCACTCTCTTTCAATAATACTAGAAGGATATGCTTCATGCATACTTTCTTGGGTAAGTATTCAAATAAACGTATCCATAAAAAAACTATTAAATGGCCTAAAACAGAAAAAAAGGATTAAACTAGACATTACATCAGGCTTAGATCCAAACCTTAAGAAATATTCAACAAACTGTCTATCTATCCATCACATATTTAGGATAATTCGTTTTTATATTGACAAATACCTCTAGAAATGCCCCCCAGCGGCACAGCGGAATGTCTGTGGACTTACAACGCTAGAAAGCAGAGATAGCCCAATGAGTAGCTTTGTGCTTAATATGAAACAAACAAATAAAACTTCTAGAAACTCTGGGTGTAAAAGAAAATAGTTCTGTTGACCTGCAGAACTTGCACGTATACTTCAGTTTCCTTCTTATAAAAATACATTTAATTTCTGTTGAAGACAATATTTTTGAAATACAGTGTCAACAGGCGTTTTTGAATTATTATGTATATGGATGCGGATAGGCGTAACCCTTACAGGAAAGAACACAACGTTTTCACCTACGCTAATGTTAACACCTATAGTCTCTTTCGTCTTGTCACACGGTGGCTCAGTGGAGAGCTTGAGACAAAGCCACAATGGACTATCTGCTGTGTCCATCGAGGGGAATCAAACCTCGAATTTCAGCGTTGTAAGTCAATAAACTTAGCGCTGTCCCACTGGTGGACGTAGTGGACAGCCTACTGTGCAGCTCTGATCTTAACAACAAGGAAAACTTTCCAATAAAATGATTCTAAACGGAGAAAGTCCATAAACCAGCAAATGAAAGTCCATAAACCAGCAAAAAAGATTCACTGAAACTTTACAGGTGCACATGAATGACAATAAAAAATTATCATAAACAAATGTTTATGTCTAAAATGCCCTCCAGTGGCACAGTGGTATGTCTGCAGACTTCTACTACTAGAAACCGGGTTTCGATACCCGTGGTGGGCAGAGCACAGATAGCCCTTTGTGTAGCTTTGTGTTTAATAACAAACAACAACCTTCGAAAATAGCTCTAAATGGAGAATGTCCATAAACCAGCAATAAATACTCACTGCAACATATACCATTTACAGATGGACAAGAACTGTTAATAATAATAAGAAGAAAATGATTTTTTAAGAAAACAATTAATTATATATATTTATCATTTCCAGATGAAAAACTGTTCAAAGTTTAACTATATATATTCAATTTGACACATAGATTATACGCCTTGAAGATTCACACGTAACAAACAGAAACTGGTAAAACATTAACCAAGACGGTTCAAAGGCGTCGCTATATGCTTAAAAGATTCGAGACTCGGGCCCGTAGGACCCTTCAGAACTCGCGGGAATTTTCGGTGTTTCAGTATGATATCGATCACGGTTTTTATTCTGATTTTTCAATATGTCAACTGTGGATTCGGGGCACGGACTCCGTGTGCCAGTGTCTAGGGACGACTCTACCAATACATTTCTAAATATACCACTTGATTCAAGATATTTTGTAAAACAAAGTGATAAATCATCACAAGAACTTTGCGGCATCACTTACCTGAAAGATAAGACTGATTCAGGTGTTTAATATTGCCTTTTGTTGTATTCCATCTGAAACTAATTTTGGTTATAATTGTATAGAAATGTTATCTTACAATTACAAAGGAAATAACCCACTATTTATGTGAAACTTGCTCAACACGAAGCAAAACTATGAAAGTTGGACGACACGTAAAGCGCACGTGACCAGGTTAAATACCTTTAAGATACAACCGCCCCTAATTTCTAACCAGTGACCAGAGGGGAAGAACGCTTTTATAATGCGCCCACAGCTGAAAGTTCAGAACGTTTTCAGCAGCATCCGTCTCGAAACTCGGATTTTTCGATCCGCAGCCAGACACGCTAATCACAAGACCACTCCCGTCCTACTTTTAAAAGTAAATCTTATTCAGGTGTATTTTTAATACAGGTGTGCACCTATATCGAGATCCACGAATGTGTGTGTATATATATATACACACATTAGTTTGTAGAATGAATATTAGGACTTGAATTTTCTAACGAAATTAAGAATTGTATAATGTTTTACTTCATTGCAAAATACATCAACATCAACAGCTATTTGGTATTGTGCAAATATACAAACTATCTCCGATAGACTTCTACATAATCCGCTAAATTATTTCGCGAAAATTTGGCATAAAAATGACCTAATGTGTGAATTAGATCGCTACTGCATACATGATGAAGATAGTCCTCTCCCAATTAACATGCACAATAAACATAAGAATTTAATAAGGCCACCTTACGCTAGACTGAGAAACCCACATTAGTTTAAGCTGATACGACAGCATTGATAAGGTATTTTGTGAAAATGATCTCGATGAGTGTTAAAACCAATGTAATGTGATAAATACACGTGGAACTGTTCACCAGGTGCAGAAGTTTTACAATATCGAACAAAGAATATATTTGGTGAGACATTTGTTGTACATCAATGCATAACAAAATCGGGGTATTATGAGTTGGTATTATTTGAACCCTTTTTGCGTAGAAACTGGAATAATATTACTGCTACTCCAGAGTAATGTAAGTTTTCTTCTTTTTTTTTTTTCGAATCCCCGTCACACCAAACATGCTCGCCCTTTCAGCCGTGGGGGCGTTATAATGTGACGGTCAATCCCACTATTCGTTGGTAAAAGAGTAGCCCAAGAGTTGGCGGTGGTGATAACTAGCTGCCTTCCCTCTAGTCTTACACTGCTAAATTAGGGACGGCTAGCGCAGATAGCCCTCGTGCAGTTTTGCGCGAAATTCAAAACAAACAAACAAACTTTCTATATGCACATGACTTAGATTGGCTAGTTTCTTGCCATTTGCCATGAATGCTCACGTCTATTAACATTACTTTAAAATATTTATAAAGAAAGGATACTTGTTATGTTTGTTTTTTAGAGCAAAGCCATACTGGGCTAACAGCTGTGTCCATCGCAAGGAATCAAACCCCGGAATTTAGCGTTGTAAGTCCGTAAACTTACCGCTGTCCCACCGGGGGATAAAACTTACACAACCGATAGCATTCGTTAGTGCTCTTGACGAAAAAATAGATTCGTTGACTGAGATTTTTGATAAAGAAACTGACACTTCCACTGATTCTCTGCATGACTTTTTTATGATAATCTTAACGAAAACAAATTGACGTTTTCAACGATACTCTTCATGGGAAAAAAATGACATTTCCATTAACGTCCATGACAATAAATAAATAAATCATTCGTTAGTACTCTTGGCGAAGAAACAGACTCGTCTATTATTCATATTGCTCGTCACCAAAAAAGTATTACGATCACTACTGGTCTTGACAAATAACCAATGTCCATTAGTACTTGTTTACAAAAACAAAAAACAACACAAAAACTGGTAAATCACTAAACTCTTTCCTACTTAAATATATTATGAAGAAATATGACTCATTCGCTTGTATTTTGTCATGAAAAACCGATAAATTGTTTTGAAGACACATTAGCAAATTTCAAGGTAACAAGAAGAAAAAAGTTTTTGTGACGTTCACTCACGTACTGGGATTTTTTAGCCATACAGTGTTGTTTACAATTCTAAGAAGATATATATATATATTACGAGTCTCTGATAGAGTAATAAAGTATTTTTTTAATATGTTTGTAATACCTAAGAAACTTTCAGAGAAGTACTAAAAGATCTGTAAACTTAACACCATCTTCTCTTGAAACAAAGGATACATACAGATAAACGACTTACTTTATCTGTCTAGCACTTTCTCGAAACCTTTTATTTAGCTTATTTTAAAACAAAAAACATGCATATAGAAATGAATCGATGATTTACTACCACGGATTATAATAACAAAAAATTTGAGCATGGTACTTTTTGTTTTTACCTCCGCATATAAAAACATTAAAACATTTATATACAAATAGAGATATTAATACAACAGAATTGCAAAACGCCTAAAGTAGGGATAAGCTATATCAGGACATCCACACTCTCTCGGCCATTAGCATTCTATTCAGCCATTAATATTGTTGCGTCAGCGAGGTCACGTTCCTAGTATCACGCCACTCCTTCTCGAACCTTTGTGAATTGTCGGGAGATTACTAGATTGGGGGTAGCCTGGTATATATAAGACGCTCACAACGTGACGAACAGAGGTAATGAGTAATTGAATGTACGCGGACAAAATATTGTTGGCCACGTGAGACGTGAATTATAATGTTTGTTATAGAGCGACTGTTGAAATTAAGTGTATCGTAAAGTTGTATTCGGAAAGAATAAACCGTTTTATTTAAGAAAGAACTTGTGTCGCTAAAGTTTCATCGGAACGAATTTACGGAAAATTAACTAACTAACGGAGACGTAACAATATTATAATAGGATACTGAGGCTATTTTTTTGTGGTTTTTGTTTTTTTCTTATTTAACTTTTACTAGAAGAAAAATATTTCTACCGGCAGAGGGAGAACAAAAAAAAAGCACGTTAGAAATCAAAATGGCGTGTATTAGTAATTCGACCGGCAGAGATAGCGAGGATGGTGAACCAAGAAGATAAAATTATTGTAGCTCCAAATGGCTTATTTCTTTCTTTGTGGATGATAAATATTGCCTATTCTAATGTATATCATAGCAATCATCTTTAGATCTTCATATTTGACTGATCACAACGATGCATAAAAAATAAAACTTCCAGGTAAATTATTAACGTTAGTCTTTTATTGGCGAATTATAACTTCTTTAGCCTTATTGTTGTGTTTATTTAGGTATAATTTAGCCTTATTGTTGTGTTTATTTAGGTATAATTTAGCCTTATTGTTGTGTTT